CAGGAATGGAAACTTATGATTTAACATGTGAAAAACGGAAACCAGCCATTTTCAGCGCTCTCTCTGCCGGCAGGGCACAGAGGAGAAGCAAGTAGCTTCGGTAGCTTGTTAAAAAAAGTTAAAAAAACCCCAAACCCCAAACCATACAATTCTCTCTTATTTGCTGCACTCGCAAAGGCAGCGTCTTTTAAACAAAGTTTGTGCATCTCCGATGTGCGTCCGTAGCCGAGTCTCTCTCCCCCTCTCAATGGCTCATTCACATCAGCTGGGCCCCGAATGCATGCTGCCACATGGTTTCCTGTTTTCAAATTGATTCAGCCCCTTCGCAGCCCCCTTCGGCTTCCACCCCACCCTGACCTCTCGTGGGATGCAATCTTTCCATACTTCCCTGGCTTTAGACATTCGCTCACTCTGAGCTTAAAAAAGAAAGAAACCGGGGCAGGAAGAAAAAGGAGAGCAGAAAAGGGAGTGTGGGGGGGGGAAGAGATAATGTTTCTTTTTTCCCACATTGGTTCAACATACATTGGAGCTTGCAGCTGTTGCTAGACAGGAAGATGGGAATTAAGGGAGTTCTTCAGCCCGGTCACAAAGGAAGGAATATGGATTTTGTGTAATGGCAATGTCAAATCCACTGCCGTTCTGTTCAACACCCAGGGAGGAGGCATGTCCCCAGCACATGGATTCACTCCGCTAATGAGGACAGCTAGAGATTGCTCAGGCTTTCCATGCAGCCCCTCAGGAAGCAGCTTAGTGGTCTGAGTCTCCTTGTATAAGACTGCTCCTAACCGCAAACTCAAAACCTTGGCAGATTACTCAACCCTGCATCCTTCCGAAATAGATAAAAATTGAGCTTCATGTGAATCTAATGCAAGAGGGTCTTCAGAGGGCTCTTTAAAACACAGAGGTCCTGCCTGCTGTCTGTGAGGAGGATTTTAAGAAAGCTCTGCTCCCTCGGTGTTGGGGCTCAAGCCCTTCTCTGCAGTACCTCTAGTCTGCTAGGGCTTGGTCGTCTGCCTGGCTTCTGCCCCAAGAGAGCCTGCCTTGTGTTGGGGTGTAAACTGATTGTCAGAGGCACTTGGTTTGTAAAATACTTCTAGGTCAGAGTCTATCACAAGATAAATCACCAGTTTGCATGGCTCAACCCCACTTAATAGAAGCTGGGTATCCCATGGCCATTAAGTCACCCTCTGCAAAGAGTTCAATTCACCAAGCAAGCAGAGAGGACTGGCATCCTTATCTGGGGCTGCCACTAAATAAGTGGCCCACTGCTAGGAGATGCAAGAGCTGGGTATGGTTGGAAAATGTTCAGCTCCTACCTTATTTCTTCAGCTTGCAGCAATTCCACTCTTCCCCCTCTCACCACACCTCCACAACACAACCGCGTCCTCATACCCGAATCTCTCCCGCAGCACTCTCCACTGGCCTAAAAGATCTAGCTTCTGCTTTCAGTATGAGAACATATGCCGGTGACACCACAGGAACTGGGGACTTTCTGAAGCCACCAGTTTTCACGCAGTGATGAATCCCACTAATCATGTGCTCGTCGAGATGAGAAATCACAAAAGTCCAAGAGAGCACATCACATTAGTCAAGCACTCCACATACAGCAAAAGGTGTCCTCAAATCTGGAGGTGCACTGATATACTGGTGCTATATCAGATCGGCACTGATAAAAGGAAAATTAACATTATCAGTTATTGGCTTTTTTTGGCCGGTGTAGCTGATAATGTACCAATAAATATAATATGCCTTCTGACCAGGGCCCCTGGATGCCATGTGCGTGCACGCAGTTGCTTGCATGCATCGGTCAGGAGTGCAGCTGGGCAGTGCGGAGAGCAGTGTCCTGCAAGTAAGTCTGTGGAGGGGAAGGGGCGTGGGGGAGAGAAGGGGTGTGGAGCGGGGGGCAAATCAAGGCTCCCACAGCAAGGGAGGCAGTGGGGCAGGGGCAGGGGGATGACTGGAACCCCAAGGCTGGGATGGGGAATAGGCCGGAGCTGCAGGAAGCTCGTCCAGGAGATCAATAACCCAATGCTTAAAAATGGTGGTGGGGTCACTTGAACTAAAGCTCATCGAATAAACTTTACTTCGAGCACTGCTGCCACCATTTTTAAGTGCCAGGACATTTAACCAGAGCAGAGCCGAGCAGAGCGAGGGCGGAGGCAGGATGCCTGCTGTGGGCTTAGGGCTTGTCGCCCTGATCCGTTTGCCCCAGAAGCGACGTGCTGGCCATGCTGTGTCCCCTGCCCGTCCAGCTGCAGGAGGCACAGCTCACTGCTGCCAGATGGGCAGGGGATGCAGTGTGGCCAGCATGTGGCTCCTACGGCAAAGGCAGCAGAGAGAAGAGCCCTGAGCCTACAACAGGCAGCCCGACAGGCAACACCTCCGCCCTCACCCTGCTCGTCTCTGCTCTGGTTAAAAGCATCCTGACACTTAAAAATTGTGGTGGCGGTGCTTGAACTAAAGCTCATTTGATGAGCTTTAAGTTCAAGAGCCCCTGCTGCTATTTTTAAGCACTGGGATGCTGATCTCCTGGATGAGCTGCCCGTGGCTCCATCCCGCTCCCTGCTCCAGCCCTGGGGTCCCATTCACAGACCTGCCCCAGCCCCAGCCCCACAACCTCCCTCACTGTGGGGGTCTTGATTTGCCCCCGCCCCTTCCCCTCCGCCAACTTACCTGCCAGACGCTGCTCTCCACGCTGCCCGGCTGCATTCCTGTAAATTGGTTATCGGATAAGTATTGGCCGATATGCCTGGTGAGTAACTGGCTATCGGTATCAGACAAAAAAATCTTTATCGGTGCGCCCCTACTCAAATCCCGTTTTCAAGTCAAGCGCTGTATCAACAGGTGTGCACAAAATTCTGAACTTAATTCAGGGTAAGAAAAGCTACGAAAAGCCTTGTGATGCAATGATGCTCTGATGCAATGTTTCCTTGAAACCAGGGTTTTGAGCAACTGGGTCTGGAGAGGTTTTTTTTTTTCCTTTGTCTTCTGGTAAACTCCACAACTGTTCTTTATGACCAAATTTGCTAGCAACAGTCTCGAGAGACTGAGGCACACACGTCCTCCGCTCACTCAGAGAATAACGCTGTACCCTCAAGACCACCTCACCTTTCATCTGCTGGACTCCCTTGCTTCCCCACTGAGACAGCTGTGGGAGGGAAGAGGATGGTAATCAGTGCTAATTAGGGTGGTGGGCTAAGAGCAGAAGTAAAGGAGTGCCTGACCAATCTCTGAAGGTGCAACGCCAACCACAGTACAGGCTAGAAGCAGCCCATTCATCCTTTCTAAAAGCAAGAAATAACAGTTGGCTTAATAAAAGATAAATCACCTGCAAAAATTGTTTCCTCTTCAATATTTCCTGGACCATCATGGCTACAACAACACTCCAACACTACCAAGAAGTAAGAGTGATTTTTAAGCCAGGGTGAAATCTAGACTAGGATATACAGGGTATATCCTACACCAGCTTGAAGGAAAGAACAAGAACAAGGAAAAGAACAAGATATAAACCCACTGGCCATGCTCTCAGGTGCTGACAGCGGTTCTCACGAGGAGGGTGGTTAAGCATTACAACAAGCCGCCCAGAGGGGCGGTGGGATCTCCATCCTTGTTTTCAAGAGCTGATTAGATAGATGCTTGACTGGGATGGTTTAGACAAGGTAATCCTGCCTTGATGAGGGGGCTGGACTAACCCCTGGAACACCCCCACCCCCACATGCAGCTGAAATCCCCATGCATCTCGTTTTTCTCTACTTCCAGACTAACACTGAGACACAAACATAGACCTGCCATGGGCACCCCCTATTTAGGGAACTGGCCCTCTCCTCCCACATCATCTCCTGCATCGTTCAGATATCCCACCCCCACTTTTACACATAGATGGAAAAAAGAGAAGGAAGAAAACAAGTTCCTGTCTGGTCCAACAGAGCGGTGGCATTGAGTCTGTACTTATTTGGTGTCCTAGGGGAATTCATTTTACACACAGCCGAGCAGTTTCCTGAGAGCATAAACTTAAATATACAGATACAGGCAAGGCACGCCGTTTGCCTCCTCAAGAATACAACTCTGCAGGCCTATCCGTGGAAGAGAGAGGGAGAGAGAAAGGAAAAAAAAAGAGTAAATAAAATCATGTTCTTTCTCTGTTCTTCTTTCATTAGAGTTGCTACAAAATGGAGAGAAGACGCAGTCCTCAGCAGCTTCATCCACTGGCTGCTGATATGACAATTCTGGACTCTTTATTGAAAACATCTGGAAATGCTGAACAATACCATGCAGAGAGGAGTTTGAAACGAACCAATTGGTTCATAGCCAAACCAAAGGCCAGTGCTGCAGACGTCAAGTACCCCAAAAAAATAAAATAAAAAAAGGAAAAAGAAAAAAAATTCATGTTCGACCGCATCATATGATCTGTAACCCTTCCAGATAAACTCCTCCCCCTCCCACCCACTTGCAGACCTCTTAATGACAAGGAAATGATGGCTAGTCTGAGACAGACAGCATTATTGTTATCTGTTTCAAATTACATTTGCCATAGAGTTATGAAACACAAAATGATGCAATCTACAGAAATACTGCAGCGTATTAACATTTGAAGCTGCGGCTCTGATATGAATTAATGGAGCACTGCATAAAAGACTTGAAAAGACCCGTTTCCTTCTAATCAAATCAAAACCCAATTTTGGTCACTACATGCAGGAATTATTTAATTCATCGGGCAGACACAGGAGAAAAAAAAAAAAAGATCTGCGTTTTAAACTGCTTTTAAAGAAGA